CCAATAACTGTTTAAATACGCTCCTATATTGAATATACCCCTCCAAGCTTTGATGACCTTGCCATTTACGTCAACCCGACAAAGCCGTACCTTGAATGGGTCTATATATTCCCTGATTCATCAGCGATATTTTTGCGTCAGTCAAATGCCTTGTCTTCTGGAAAGATCGATTGTATTCATACATAGTTTATATTTGTGGATATTTCAATAAGTTTCGCAGCTCTTCAGAAGTTGTAAAGTGACCAACATGGTTGGCAGTCACGAAAAATCAAACGACTTAAAAGAAAATTGAAAAGATTGTTTGTTTGACAAAGGTTTCACCGTGGTTACATGCTAACTGAGAGATGATATAACAACAGAGGTAGAGTTCACCGGTAGGAACAATCTGATGTCAAATAACAAGACATTTAGCCCAGTGGACTCTGGATGGATAAGATCTGGGCAAACCCTGACTGGGTTTTTGTGTGGTGTTTGTTGATGCTATATTTGCCTTTATAACACCTCTTTCCACCCTGGGGTTTAAATGAGTACTGGCAAACTGTCATGGAAACCCAAAAGAAAGGTGGAGGGCTACCTTAAACCTTCACACCTTTTACATTGGTATTCATATTCTCCACACTGTCTTCTTTACATTTCCTATTGTCTTCATAAGGAGAATTTGTTTGACAATTAAGAGCCTCTTTGATTGGTCATCATTAATTTTCCTTTATTGTTATGAGCTTTACGTATGATTCAAGCATGATACTTAAGGAGAAATTAGATGCCAGTTACTCCTAGAGACTGGTATCATATCCAAAGGGCAGTGGTAATACTCAAAGCTGGTCAGGTCATGCTACAGAAAGTAGTTAATTAACCCTTTAACTCCCAAGATCTGATTGTTAATTCTCCCCTCTAGCTGCTACACATTTTACTTGTAAAGTAGTTATGAGAATTTGGTGTTATATCAAGAAGACAACTTCTACCTACTAAGTTTGAGTATTCTCATTACCTGTTTGCTGGATAATGTATGGATATTATTGGGAGAAATTGCATATTGATCACTGCTGGGAGTTAAAGGGTTAAAGCTCAACTTGTACTTACATATGATCAGGCTTAGATTTAACATAGGCAGACTGGAACTAAGCTGTTTTTGTTTTTTTTTGCTTTAATAGGTTCGTGAATATGAGATTTCAAAGGATAACTTCTCTAAAACTGGAAACTTTGGTTTTGGAATCCAAGAACATATTGATCTTGGAATTAAATATGACCCCAGTATTGGGATTTATGGCATGGATTTCTACGTAGTGCTGGGACGTCCTGGTTTCAGTGTAGCTGAACGAAAAAGGAAGCAATCCAGAATTGGGTACAAGCATCTGATATCAAAGGATGAATCCATGAAGTGGTAACGGAAGGTAACGCCTGGAAACCCTTATACTTTAACATCACTATGCATATTCTTCACTCTTTTCTCTACGCATTGTCTTTGGTATTGAAAAGGAGAATTTGGTTACTGATCAAAAGCTTCTTTTGTTAGGCATCATTTTCTTCTTTCTTGTGATGTCAATGTTTGATTCAGGGGTAATATTGTAGGGAGAAATTAGATACTAGTATTAACTAAGACTTAGGGCTGTATACAAAATTTCTTTACATGAAACAATAACTTGCAGAGATTCAGAAATAGTTTGAGAATACTCATACAGCTTTGCCTCTGATGATTGTTAACTCACAAAACAAACTGCTTTTATGACTGATTATAACAGTGCTAGCTTACTTACTTTGAACAGATGTACATCAACAATTGTTTACAGCTAGCAGCACCCTGCAAATTACCTATTCACATCAATAACACATCCAAAGAATTGGACAAACAAAATCGATTAACTGCCAGGTTGAAAACGGTTATCATTACATGGGTTTTACAGTAAATGACATCACAACAAAATTAACTAATTAGTTTTCACAATCCTAACATATAATATTTTACAGATAAACACCTTCCCTTGACATTGATGAGCTATTAATCATTTCAGTTCAAAACTAAAGTCACTTTCATGAATGTAAGTCTTTTTCAGGACTACCCTTCCCCTGGACAATTTACAGGATCAACTGTAACACCCGACCCCCAGCTCTCTACTTCACATTACTTTATCAAACCCTTATGTTAATTTTGTCATTTTTTTTGTTTCCAGTATGATGGTATACTGCTGCCATCAAAGAAGAAGAAGTGAAGTGGTGGTTTCCTTTTTTTTGTAAATTCTTTGCCTTCAAATATGCCCAATTAAATGCTGGATGAATTATGTCTGTTGTTGTTTTGATTTTTATATAACATTTAAGGTTGGTTTTCACAAAGACACAAGCAAACAATGTAGGTGTACATGCCTAATCATGCTACCTATTTCAAATAGTTAGTGCATTTATTTTTTCGTTTGAATTCTAATTATAAACAATAGGTTTATGGGTAAGTGTGTACCCTTCATGACATGAGGCAGAGAGAAAGTTTGGAGAGCACAAACATCCATAAGATTTGGACAATTTAATCCTCTTGAGTTAGTCGCTAAACTTCTGTTGAAGTGATTCATATCTTGAATACCAGTTTTTTGATAGAAATTATCCCAGTTATACTACTGGCTCTTGGCGTTTGTGTCAGAGCAAATATAATGCCTGAAAAGCTGCCTGAACAGGTGAAATGACTGATGTTTCTACCCAACATTCAGTACATTAATATATTAAGTTGTCAACAAAACTTTCGGAAAGAGGAGTACACAGACATTGATTTGCCAAACAAGTCTTGAATTACACCATACGGAATAAATAAGTTTTAAACATTGAAATCAAAACTATGGGTAGTCCATTTTCACCAGCATAATCCCTTTAAACTAAGAGCTGACCCTCCTTTTTGGTGATGTCTGTTGCGAAAGTCAAAATCAGTGAAAAAAAAATTGATGTTAGCATTCCATGTGAGAAGTTCTGTGTGGTGTGCGAAAGTAGAATTTTCTTTTCCTTGTTTTTTATATAATTGTGGTGGACTTCAGCGAAGATCAGGGACTACTTGTAGTCTACACTCCATTGTTTGTCGATAGAAATCAGGGATATAAACTTCCTCCTGTAAGACATCATGCTGGGATAGAGGAACTTGCTGTTTATGTTTTCACACAAATTGTGGCATGCACTTTCTTTTCATCAACTTGCTAAATAACTCCTCCACTTTCTTTATCTCAGAATATCATAAGGTTGCTGGAAGGGGAAAGGGGGGATCTGAAAGTGATGAGGATAATAAGGGCCAGGAAGTCCATCTTCATTTATGGCCTCATTTCCGTTCAGAGGCTCGGGGCTTTGTGTTAGGCAGGTGAATTGTTAAGCCTGGTTTTCACTAGCAAAACAGGCAAAATGGCTCTTTTTCCGCGGTGAAAATGGCTCAAGAAGAAAGAAAAATACTGATGTGCTTGAGATTGTATCCAAGCCGTTTCCACAGTGAAAGACCAGCTTTTGTACTTGCGTTTGTGCTCGCGATATGAGGGAAAACCAAGCTTTAGTGGTGTCTTGTGGCTCATTGAAGTGATAAAGTAGATTGATCTAAAACACTGCATGGTCGAGGATATGCCTCTTCCTCAAGGGGATTGCAAATCTGGAAATACAAGTAATGTTAAGTAGCATGTGAGGCAAACAGTCAACACTTCAAAACAAAATTCAACAACTCAAAACCAAAAGTATTTTCTATGTCTAGGGAAAAATAGAAGAAGAGTGGCCCTAACTTTTAAAACTTCCTTAGTCCTTGCCACTATTCCCTGTTAACCCTGCAAGTGATAAACCTGTAACTTCTTCCTATAATATCCATACATTATCCGACAAACGGGTGATAAGAATACTCAAATTTATCAGAGAGAAGTTGTTATGCTGTTCTACTTGCCAATTTTCGAAACTAATTTACAAGGAAATGCGTCGCAGCTACAGTTCAAGGGTTACATGAGTACAGATGAGAGATTAAGTTTGGCAACAGTTGGACAGTTAGTGTGCTGCATTCAAGGTACAGAGGTCTCAGTTCAGGATCTAGTTACGTCCTGCATTGTGTATGAGGTTGTTATCTGAAATGATATAATTTGTACTAATAAATCAAAGGGCTCTTGGAGCCAGGTAATTCATGTTATGGCTTAAGTTTGTATTGATTTCTTGGACTTGTTGAGTATAGGTACAGTTGAATTCGGTTTATGTGAGCTTTCAAGATTTATGGAATAAATTTTCTTTTATTTTTGGGCAGTTGTGTGATGAGAAAACTTGTGCGTTCGTCGTGATGGGAATTGGAAAAAAGGTTGTGCAAAATGGAGGTGAGATGGGCAGATGTAATTGGCCAGACAGTGTCCTTTTTGTTGGTGTGTGTGTGTTTGTGGGGGGAGGGTGGGCTGGGTAGGTATAATCAGGCATAAAATGTTGCTCTAACAGCAAAATATTAGTAACTCTCATCTTTCACGATCATTTGTATTATTGAAAATTGTCAGTTTCTTGATATCCTTTGTTTTCAACAAAGCAGCCATTGCATTTGGCTTTTAACAAAGCAGCCACAATCATTCTTAATAGAATTTCAAGCCTTCATACTGTCTGATTTTCACATATTAATATTCGCGTAGTCACCAAACAGAAGAGAGATAAAACCACCACAAAAGTAAACAAATGGTGAGTCACGAAAGTAACGCTTCGTTTTTCTCTATAAAAATTCGCCGGTTCCTCACGTAAGCCAATGACAATATAGGAGTTTCTGAGCTTCAGCGAAATTAATTTTAACTTTCTCAAAGTGGGGGAAGGGTAGCATGCAAGACTACTTCCGTTCACGGTCCACAATGCAACTTCCCTCTACGGAATACAACTTTCGTCCACGGTCGACAAGTTCTGTCCACATCTGCCTCACCACAATACCTCTTTCATTGCTTCCAGCATGAATGAGCTAAAAACGGACTTAAGGCACAGAAAACATATGAAATACTTTATTTTAGTTTTACAATAAAATACCATTTCATATATCCCTACTTTTCTACTTTAAATGTGCTTCTTTTTCTATACTTTAAATCTTGAGAACAAAAAATACATCCTTTTTGTTGTTTTTGTTGAAGTTGGTTATAGATAGCAGAGAATACAACAGCTTAAATTTCCTGAAATGTTCTTAGCCTAATAAGTAAGAATGTAGCAAAGACAAAAAAATTACGCAAAAGCACTTCATTACTCCATAAAACAACTAACCTTCATTCACAATCATCTAGGCCAGAGCGGTATAACTGGCTCATAGTTGCATACATGTTTTAATTAAGGAAATTCCTAGCACAACAATCATTACTAAATCATTACGAAACCTAAAAAGTTGTCATTTTCAGCGCTGATCATGAGTCAGCATAACGCATCGTTCGAACGAGACATCTCTCCTCAAATATCAAAGTTTTTCTCAGGTAGTTCCTCCTCATCGCTGTCGCTATGGCTAGGAGCTGCTTTAGGCACAAGTTGTACTTCATCAGGACACGATTGTAAGACTTGATAGCTATTACCAGAGAAACTGCATACTTCCACTATTAACATACACATTGACATAATATTCTTAATGATTAAAGGTCTTTCATTCGTTCCATACTCAACCATCGCAACCACTCGAATACTGAACGACACAAAATTTATTATGGCTGCGGCTATCACCAAGCCCAGTCCAATCTTCCCCCTACCACGACGGGAACCAGTGGACTTGTAATAGTGATGTACTGAATGTACAAGCTGAAATGCGGAAAGTAGCAGGCTCATGCAAGCAAGTGCAATCATCCCTCTTTCATATACTTTATCTATCTCACTGCCTTTCACTTTTTCGCTGACTACAATGTCAATCATCTCGATTGCATCGAGTAGTTGTGCCGCCAAAATGACACACAGCAATTTGAAGTCTCCGAGGCGTTTGATGGCGTCGTCGTCGTCAGCAGTTGTCAACAATAGGAGAAGAAGAAGTGGTGTCATATACAGAACGGCTTCCAATATCTTTGGTCCAACAAATCTTTCTTCACTGAACTTATCTTCGCCCAGTGCAAATACCAAGACAAAATCCACTATAAAAAAAAAACTATACCCTAGCCAAATGTAAGGGTCACAACAGAGTTCCCTTTTCGTTAACCACAAAATAAACGGGCCTAGTATCAACCTCACTATGCAGGTAAGAAGAAACCACAAAATTGAAACAGGTATCAGCACACCATCATCCCCATAAAGGTAAGCATAAAAGCAAAAGACACTTAACTGAGCCCACCAAAGGATCAACCACAAAACGCGACCGAAAATTTTCATGCATCGTGAGAACTCCATCCTCGTTATGACTGATTTTTTAGTATCCCGCCGGAATGACTCTGCAGAGCTAAGGGGCATTTCGTCTGCGCATGATCTGTAAATTAATGTTTGATGCGAGACGCCGCTGGTATGCGCCTACGTCGGTTTGCTGCTAAAGAATTGCGAAAGAAAAGAAGCGGGAACATACGTCTAAAAACGTCAAGTATTTGAGACAACCTTACTTGTTATTTTTCCCTCTGTAACTTAGATGGAAGCGGCAAAGTCTTACAACTGTTGTGTGGTGTGTGGAAGGAAGAAAAAAAGCAAAAGATCGTACTAAAGACTTCGAGTCTTGTCTTGTGATTGTTTGGGCGATCGATGTAAATGATGTTATTTATGAAGGATACAAGAGGCCTGTCGAGGAGCACTGTCTTAGTTATTTTAACAGAAATATATTCTCACAAAAGATTCGCTATTTTTCACAACAATTCTGAAGAATCCCCGCAACACCTCTTCTCCATGTGCTCATCCAACCGGTTCTAACCGGTCCTCGATGACGTCACAGTAACGCAAACCACAGTCACGCATTTTCGGTCTGACATAGGTCAAGGGACGATTATTGACTGCCACCTCTACATCAAGGATCTTTTCTTCCAGCTCACTGAAAGTTTGCTTTGCTTCTCCCATTGTCTGAATATATTTTCTCAGGCCCCCCCCCCCCCGTCTAGCGATGATACGTTTCAAACACCTTACGAAGCCCTCGGTTGCCTGGTCTGATAATAACTCTATATGGACTGCTCTTGTCAAACTGCTTGCAAAGAGTAGCATATGTGCTCTAACCTCCTTGGTCTTCGACATCTTGTGTGTTGTTGGACCTGTGTAATCCACTCCAATGACTTGGAAATATAATGACCCTTCGGTGTCGTCCACTAGCAAGGTTCCAGGTGGTGGGTTTTGGAATTTTGAGGCGTGGAATTTCTTAAGCCATAACAATGATTGATTACACTTTTCGTGAGTTGCCTAAGGCGGGGTATCCAGTAATGTTCTCTCATCCGCGCCATAGTGATGCCTACTCCCCTATGTAGGGTCAAGATGTGGGCGTCTTGCACCATTATCTCTGATAAGGTTACCCTGAGTAGCAAGTACACTGGATAATGTCCCTGAATCCTTCCTTTGCACACGTAGATACCTTCATCGTTCCTTTGAAGATTTAGCCTCCGCTGGCTCTCCATGAATTTATCTGTCACACTTTACCTCTCTTGCTCACGTCTTATCCACCACTTTACTTGCTTCTCAGTTTCAAAAGTCGTCAAGGGACTTCTGATTCGATCCACCTTCTTGTTCCGGCAATTCTGGAGGAATCGCATGACCCATGCAAGAATCCTGACCGTTCACCTGTAGGAATATTTCTCCAGTACTTCGTCAAGATCATCTCTACTGTCGACTGCCACGGCAAACACCTCTTTAGTGAGCTTAGCTTCTGCTTCTGTCTCGTTGTTAAGCTTGGTCACTATCTCTCTAGGTCACTCCTCTGGTTTGGACAGCCACCTTGGTCCTAGTAACCACACACTTAACAACTGGTCTACCTTACAACCTCTACTTCCTATGCTTTGGTTATAGTCGACATGTCTCCATTCAATGAATTCCTTTGCGTTGATCTTGCGGAATCTGTTTCCAACAAACTACTTGTAAGAACCTCCCTCTTGATCCAGTGGAGCGCCACTGTACTGTCACAGACTGTCACCCACAGACTGCCTTTACCGGATAGGTTGAAAGTGTATTTCTCACATTGTCCACAATGTTCGCGGCCATGTGGGCTGACAAAAGTTCTAGTCTTGGGGAATGTAAGATTCTTTTTCGCCAATCTTGACTTTGCTGCTAATAAACCCCGGCTCATCGTCACCCCTGAGGCTTGAGTAATCACTGCGTACCCGGCTGCTGATATACCAGATCCACTTGCGTCTCCAAATGTGTGTAGCTCTACTCCGGTGATTGGCTTCCTGAACCTTGGCAGGCTTCGCGATACCTCGACCTTACTGAGGAGATTTCTCACGAACCTTAACCAATCCGTTGCGATTCTGTCTGACAACTTCTCATCTCACGACAAATGATCGTCACATACTTGTCGATACCGAAACTTCCCCTCTAGTGTAAAAGGCGAAGCTATACCGAGTGGGTCGTACACTCCATCTAAGAATCGCAGAGTCCCTCTTTTTGTAATGTCATCAGGTTCTTCTGGAAAAACTACAGCGATTTCGTCTTCTATCTTGTTCCACAGAAGTCCCAACATCTTAGATTCGCCTTCCTTAACTCCTAACAGCTGCTTGACGTACATTTGTTTAAGGTCAACCAAAACATAATTTTCACTCTCTAAATGAGGCTCATAAGAGTTCCACTTCTGCATGGTAAACTTGGTCTCCCCGAACACCGATACGATGGTCTTCTTCAGGTTCCGCACCTCTACTGTGGTGTTACCGCCAGTGATGACGTCATCTACAGAGAGACTCCTCACTATCTCTTCCATCTCTTCTGGGTACTTCTCTCGTAAGCTCTCTAAATGCAACTTCAGTGTTCTCGCCAATAAGAAGGGCGACTGAACCAACCCAAATAACGCCCGTGTAAATCTCAAGACTTCAATAACCGACCGGTCTTTGTTCTTGATCCAGAGGAACTGTAGTACATCTCTGTCTTCAGGTCTTATGCATACTTTTAGGAACGCTTGCTTAAGGTCCCCCGCCAAAGCGACTGGCTATAACCGGTTTCGCACTAGTACATGCCACAGCAGGTTCTGTAAGGGAGGTCCATTCTCAAAGCACACATTCAATGATGGACTATCTTCTTTCGGCTTAACTGATACGTCAAATACAAGCCTGAGTTTTTTTGTCTCAGCTTATTACTTCTTCAACGGTTTGTGCCTCAAGTCCTGAAACATCTAAACTACAAAGTTGCTGGTAGTCTGCTGCTGACGTTTTAGTGAATTAAACATTGGAGAGTGCTGATTCTTTACCAGACGACATCATTGTCCATCCGAGCGTAGTGAGCTCAGCAATAGGCTCTGAAGGTTGGCCTATTTTAGGTTTCGTCTCCGTTTTAATTCTTGAGTACTCGCCTATGCCAAGTATTACATGAATGGGTAACTCACTCTTCTTGTCGTTGTCGTCTATAACTACAACATGTAGGTGGCTATACTTGTGGATCAGTTCCTCGTAATTCGAGTTTGGAACCGTGAGTAACACACTATTGTCAACTTCACTGATCCTCGTTGTTATCTCAAACTTCCCATCCTCGCTTGCGACCTTCACTTCATAGCTCTGGACCTTCTGAATTGTTGAGCAAACTCACTCTTCTTGTCGTTGTCGTCCATAACTTCACCATGTAGGTGGCTATACTTGTGGATCGGTTCCTCATAATTCGGGTTTGGAACCGTTAGTAATACCACACTCTTGTCAACTTGACTGATTCTCGTTGTCATCTCAAACTTTCCATCCTCGCTTGACCTTCACTTCATACTTATGGACCTTCTGAGTTGTTGAGCAAAGTATCGATTTCCTTCCAATACGTATTGGTCTCTTGTTAAGACGCCTAACTAGAGCTGCTGACGCATACGAACTGCTTGCGCTTATGTTAAGGAGTGCTTTACACTTGATGCCATCAACAACTATCACTACTACTGGATAAATAACGGACCCACCACCTATCACCATCATCATCTGATTGTTGCCAGGCAACCAGTCGCAAATTGAGGTGTGATGTCTGTTGCCACAAAGTTGACGAGTATTCTTGCTACAGCATTCTTGCGCTTGATGTCTTATGCCCGTACAGTCGAAACAAAGCTTCCTTTTGCATAAAATCTTTCTGCGTGTATTAAAGACAAGGATCTTCTTACACTCGGACGCTCTGTGATCCTCACCATTACAATAGACGCAGAAACGCGACACCTTTGTCCTTGGTTTGATAGACCGGACCCTTCTTTAATGGCAACCGGTTTGGTGGATGACGGAATAGAGGTTTACGGTATGGTATTTCACGGTTGGCGGGTTTCGGTATGGAGGGTCGGGTATTGGGTCTCCACTGGGAAGAGGGTTACGGTCGCACCATTTCCTTAAGGAATCGACTAATTCTGGAAATCCTCAATCTTGTCAATTATCATCCAATCTAGCCAGTTCTGCTCGAATCCCAGGTAGTTTATCCAGCGTTGTGCGAGCGAAACCGCGAATCGCCTTAAGCTTGCCCATAGTCCTGCATGTGAGTTGTCAGTTTCCCATAAAAAACATGGATTCTTGTTGGGTGGGAACCAAGAATCGGGGGTAGCCCAATAATGCATATGCGCGTTTCCTACTTCGCTTGACTTGCCATAGTTAGTTTTCAATATAGTTTTTGTTCTTTCGTAACCTTCAGTCGTGAGAGGAAGTCCGTCGATGGACGAGCGCACACTGGGTACCAGCAATTCCTTCAGAGAGGAAAACTTGGCTAGTTGAGTGAGTTTAGCCTCGTCAATTTCAGTTTCGAATTGATTCCAAAATCTAATCCAATCCAAACACGTTCCTCGAAATTTATTTATCTCAAATTTTGGTAGTTTTGCTCCAACAGCACTCGCGTTCTTCGAAACTTTTGCGGATGGCTTCGCCGCTTTCGCAAGTTTTGCGCGCATCTCAATTTTGGCCTTTTCAATCTCGATTTCTTCATGCAAAATTCGCTTCCGTTTTTCTTCTTCATGTTTTTTCCTCTTCAGCTGACCTTGTGCTAGTGGCTACGTCTCTTATTTCCTCGAGCACTTCTTTAAATTCTTTTGTTTGAAGTTCTAAACCTTGGGTCCAAAGTCTGACCTTCACAGGGTCACGGCCGGTTTCAATTCGCAGTTCCTGAACTTGCAATTTTAGTTGATGTGTTTTATCGATAATCGACTCCAAAGCACTTCCATGCCTCTCAACGGCCTTCAAATCTTTGGCTTCTGGTATTTTTGCTGTAGCTCCCACCATGAATCTAAGCATCTTAAGCTCACCTTCGATTCTGATGTCTTCTAGTGTTTCGATCTCGCCCATGTTGTCATCGGATGTTGATGTCGTTGTTGTTGTTGTTG